CGGCAGCAGCAGCGGCGGCGGCGGCGGAGGTGGCGGCAGCAGCAGCAGTGGAAGCGGCAGCAGCAGTGGCGGCGGCGGCGGCGGCGGCGGCGGCGGCGGCAGCTGCAGCAGCAACGGCGGCGGCAGCGGCAGCAGCAGCAGCGGCGGCGGCGGCAGCAGCGGCGGCGGCGGCGGCAGCAGCAGCGGTGGTGGCGGCAGCAGCAGCAGCAGCAGCAGGGGCAGCGGCAGGAGCAGCAGCAGCATCGCATACCTGTGCGCACGTAGTCCTGCAGCATGTTCTGCTGGTGCAGCAGCTGGCCGTAGTAGTGGAAGTACATCTTCGCACTCGACGCCTCGATCTTGCGGTCAAACGCATTCGCCGCCTCCTCACCCCTCCGCCCACCCCCACTTCCCTCACCACCAGCACCGGTAGCCTCGGCAGCACAACCTTCCTCCTGGTCTCTCCCCACGCCTGCTGCCACGCCGTTCTGTATCCCTCCTTCTTCGCAATCCGCGCTGCCCCCTCCTGCTGCTCCTGCTGCTGACCTGTTCCCACCACCACCACCACCACCAGTACTACCCACACCAGCAGCAGCAGCAGCGGCAGCAGAGGAGGCAGGGGCGGAGCGGGTCTTCCAGGTGGCGAGGGTGCGGGCGAAGGTGTCGGCCTGAGAGGAGAGCAGGAAGCGGATGGAGAAGGCGGACGCCAGGGAGGCGCGCGGGGCTGAGGCGGGCGGGGGAAGGGGTGGAGCGCGGGCAGAGGGCGGGGCGGACTGCGGCTGGCGTGGCTCGGTTGATGGAGGCAGGTGTGACGCCGCGAGGGGGGTTGGAGGCAGGGGGGCGGAGAGATCAGGGAAAGGAGAAGGTGAGGATAGGGGAAGGAAGAGGTAGACAGGGAAGGGGGCGGGTGGGGGGGAGGGGGGGGGAGGGGGAAGAGAAAGTGAGCAAATGTAGGGGGGGAGAACGGTGGTGATGCAGGCTGCTGCGTGGAAATGCAGGGCATAAGAGGACGGAAAAGCTATTGACCGAGAGAAGCAAGAGTGGCGGAGGGGCAGTTGGCAGGTTTATGAGTGGAGGAACAGGTGGGATGGATGATGGATGGAATTCGATGGGTACGTACTTGCGCTTGCGTGGCGGTGGGAGGTAGCATGAGAATGAAGGCATGCGAGCCAACACGGTGGATCTGACTCGTGCGCACACACACGCGCACAAACACACACACACACACACACACACACACACACACACACACACACACACACACACACACACACACACACACACACACACACACACACACACACACACACACACACACACACACACACACACACACACACACACAGAGACAAAAGGGGAAAGGGAGAAAGCACGCACATCGAGGGAAAGAGATAAAAATTAGTGCCGACTCAAAAGAGGAAGGAGAGGGAGAAAGAGATCAGATCACATGCGGCCCTCCGGCTCCCTTTCAACTCCCTCCGGCTCTCGCTTCCCACCCTCCACACTCTCTCTCGAGTCTCAGCCCCCATCCATCACTCTCACCATCCCCTTTTCTCCCCTCTCACCTGGCAGCTTGAGTCCACTTGCAGAATCGGATCCACGATCGACCCGTCGCCGCCATTGCCGCCCGCGCGGCCGCCGCCACCGCCGTCTCCGCAGGCGGCTTCCTCGGAGAGGCCGGAGTCGTCGGTGATCATCATGGCGGCGGGCGCGGGGGGCCGCGGGCGGAACTGCAGCACGGATCGGCCGTCCGCGATAAAGACGGCCTCGACGTCGCGGTGCGCGTCCCACGAGGACGTGGCGGCGTCCATGTGGGAGAGCATGACGTGGCGGAACGTCCACGCCATTGCGCCTGCTATTCCGGCTGCCGCTACTGCTGCTGCTGCTTCTGCGGTGGCTTCCGCGGGTGGCGGCAACCCTCGTTGCGGTGATGCTTCAACAACAGCCAGTCTGGGACGACAAAGAACGGCAATGCGGTCGGTGCAACTCGTGAAACAGCACCTTTCTTCCTCTTCCTCTTCCTCTTCCTCCTTCTCCCTTCTCCTCCTCCTCCCACAGCTACTTCTACTACTACCACTGCTACCTGGCGGAAAGCGGGCAGTCGCAATGGCTTGGTAGCTTTTTTTTACCTTATGGGGGGGAGGGGGGGTGTTATTCGCAGTGGCTGTCACGGCAGCCGCCGCTATCCACGGGTCCAAACCTGCGCTTTGCTCTGATGACCGATCGCCTGCGTTGACCCGCCAGCTCGACGACCGACCACCGGGGAGTGGCAGTGGCAGCGAACGATACTATCGTAGTACTGGTCTCTCACCAGTGAATGCACCCAGCGTCGCTCCGATCTGCCGATTTCGAGCGCAGGAGAACGAATCGGAACCGTCGGATGCGCGCGGCGGAGTTCACTAGTAGTAATACTAGTTGTGGAGGTAGCCGCTATTGCGGCAGTGGGGGATCAGGCCGCCGAAGCGGTCATCAGACTCTTCGGAGGAGCCACTGCCACTGGTGCTGGCAATCGCTGGAACGACGGGTGGTTGGACGGGCGGAAGCCACGGTTGCTACTACCGAACGAGGCGGCGTTCCTCGGAGATCTCCGCGGTCTCCGGCGCGATCAACGCAGCCTGCGCTGGCGCAGAGCCAGCTCTTGCCACGGATCAGCGGGAATTGCGGGTTTCCGGTGGGTGTAGCACGGATCGAGGAAGGATTCGAGAAAGAGATGGTAGCGCGCGGGGCGGTGTAGTGCTGCTAGTACCAGTGGCGCTGCCGAATGCCCCGCGACTTTTAGTCGACCAACAGAAATCGGTGCAGTGCAGTGGCGCTGCCAATGGCCCCCGGCGTGCACAGTAAGTGACGGTGAGCGGTCAGTGGCAGGTCGGATCAGCGAGACAGCGTGGCGACGGATGAGTTGCTTAAAGACGTATGAAGAAGCGATGTCGAGAAAAAAGAAGCGACAGCCGAAAATATCAACACACCCACTACCAGACAGGCCGCTTCTCTAGCAGTACTACCACCCCAGTTTCTGGTTAACCTGGCGGATCGTGCGGCAGCCACTCGCGGATCGTGTCGATTGCTCGCTCGTTCGCTCTTGCTCTGCTGCGCGCTGCAGGGTGGGAGGCGGTGAGAGGGGGTGAGGGCCGGGTAGCTGCTAAATGTGGAGGGAGAGGGAGATGGAAATGAGGGATGGCTGCTACTGCTACATGGTGTATGCGTCCAGCTCGCCCTAGAGGAATGCTGCTTTTTCTTCTCCTCCACCCCAGCCCCGTGCTGAAATGACATTCGCTTGGGGTTTCCGGGATTGACTGACCACGCTTGGTGGGGGCAGCCATGTCCCCGTCGCGCCATCATGCCCCGCCCTGTCCAATTCGCCCTCGCCGCACCGCCCTTGGCAGCCACACGCGGGTTCTGGGGTTCAAGGAAGGTGGTTGCTTGGTTTGCATGGGAGTCTGTGTGACGTGGCGCCGATTGGGACGGGCTGCGCTGGACAAGCAGATAGGCAGGAATGTGGGGGAAGGTACAGATCCGACGGCTGTGATGCTGGAAAAGGCATCCTGGGTTGAAGATATTTTGCGGATGCAAAAAGTACACGCCAGGTGGTGGAGCACGGGCAAAAGGAGGTGTAGCACCGTCATCCGGCAAAATGGGGGAACAATTTGCGAGGGCAACTGACGGTCAGATTGGCATTTTCGAGCAGTTTGGTTGATGCAGCTTGAAGTGAATTAAAATGCCTGAATGGTGAGGGTTCTGCTGAAATGCTGCCCTTATGAGGCTCTACAGTCATTAGGTCTTCTGTTTCACGCATGTTCCCCAACTGAAATTGGTACAGTACTTTCCAAGTGTGCAAAGTCGAGAGGTGGCGTGGCAGGCGTGCATCTCGATGGGTTTCGGGAAAACTCCATCGACGTGGCACCTCAGCATCTCAGCATACCTTTTCATCTATGGCGCAGGCGTCGCGATCGAAATCTTGCACTTTATCTGTCAATGAAACCAAAAAGCGTGTTTCCATGTGGCTGACCTGGAATTTCCAACGGTGGAGGTGCTTCGTCTACACTTTATCGAAACTTCATCCCGCCGTGACTTGCGGACAATAGTGGTTCTCAGAGGCATAGAGGTATTTGATATTTTCCAATACCCTCGGAAACTATCTCCGCATGGCATGATATTTTACCTTCAGCAGTTGGAGACCCACTCAGGCTATCATGACCCTGTCAAAAGCACAGATACAAGGGGCAATCCGTAATTGGTTCTAGAAACAGGTGGAAAGGTCCAAACGTGCGACAATTATCTCATGGCGAAGTGTGACAACGGTGAGGAATGATTGCCATTATTCCTCCAGGAACTGCTGAGGGCCTATCCAGAGTGGGACGTCGACAGTTGTCCGGGAATGTTGAGAGAGGTGGGTAGGACGGGTTTCGGCTCTTTGGACGCGGCCGTGGACATTTTTGCCCGAAAACCGGCTGATACCTGCTACGAGGTGGCACTGGTCAAGAGAGAGCGCGGTTTCGGGCTTAGTTGCCCGTTCGAATGCCCGTAGACACTGCTCGCCAAAAATCGGCATCCGACGGATGTTAGCGGAAATCGCTGGGCACTTAGGACACGCCCTAAATCGAGAGGGGTACGTGAACTCTTGTTGTCCTCCCAGTGCATCGTAGTGTACTGGTATACAGAACCAGCAAGAAAAAGTGTCAACGGCCGTTTATTTAATTAAAATGCATAAAACAAGATCCGCTTTCCTTGCCTTCGCTGGTCATGCTAGATCCAAGGTCGTGCCCATGACAGGCCCCATCTCAAGTGGCCCCCACATGGTGAATTACCATTTCTTTCTATTCTCAGGCCAACCGCAAACCACTAGTCTAGTCACGCAAATGAAAACTTCAGGCCATGCGTAGCCCGACACAATCAAAACGCCAAATTATTTACTTTCCCGACAGCCATCAGTCCTCGCCCTCCCCTATCTCCGCTGGCCCACCGCCCCTGCTTCTGCCATCCATCTGTGCCTGTAGCAGTGAGCGGTGCAGCAGGCTCTCAGCATCGCGCACTGCTTGCAGCAGGGGAGTGCCAGACGGACATGTGGACGCACCGTGAACCGCCACGTGTCCCACTCGGAACCGCCTGCCCTTGTCCTCCAGCCACACGTCCGCATCCCAGTCCTCCTCCGCCCCGCGCCAGCCCTCCTCCTTGGCCTGATGCGCACCGAAAGCAGTGATCCGGGGTAGATATCGAGGGACAGAGGAAGGAAAGACGTTGTAGGAGGGACAAGGACAAGGGGGGTGCAGGAAACGGAGTGCATGGGAGATAAATAAGACACGAGACCGAGCTTGATGAATGAGGGTACATTAAATGTCGGAGACAGCGTAGAAGGATGCGGTGCCACACTAATTGCTTGGAAAAACCGTCAGTTAGTCACCCGAGCAAGCACTCAAGACATTAAAGCCACGTCATATTGTAAGACAGGAGCAAGGGCACATTCAACGCGGCTCGGGATGGAAATGTGGAGGTCAAGAAAGGGGGACTCAGGTGATTGGAGGGCGAGAGGCGAAAGAAAGAAAGAAAAAAAACAGAAGCGAAATGGGGAGGACTTTCGTCGGGGGGAAATCTGACGTGCGAGACGGGGGGGGGGGGGGGGGGATGGAATTGCCTTGGGGGGGGAGTTGGAATTGCGAGGGGTGGGGGGGAACGGAATTGCGCGGGGGGGATTGAAAAAGCGAGGGGTGGCAGAGGGTATCGAAATTGGGAGGCAGGGGGGAATCGAAGTTGGGGGGACCAGGGTAAATCGAAAACGTAGGGGAAGGGGGATGAGACGAGGGGTGGATTGTGCGATTTTCAGTACACAAATGCCACAATCCCCCTTTCAAATGTTAATCAGCAGGGGTGGCGAGATCTCGCCACCTCCAGCAGGTATCATTAGACGGTGCCGTCAGGACCTGACTCTGGACAGGAGAGAAGGTGCATTTTGCAGCAACGCTGTCTCTGTGGGCTCACCTGCAGCCCTAGAAGAATCTCCGCCACTCGGGCAGCCCGCGCAACATTTCGGCCTGCCCCGCTGCCCATGGCGGTGGCAGCGCCGACAGCATTGGCGAGCGCAAGCGTGGTGGATGGGCCCTCCTCTCTGAGCAGACCCATGGCCACCGCTGCTGCAAAGCTGTCTCCACACCCCACTGTGTCCGCCACATCCACCTGGGGGGGAGGGGAGGAGGAGCCACACAGTGTGATGGTTAAGTAATGTTGTTTTAAGATGTCTCAAAACAAACTGTCCCCACACACACCACACTGTGTCTGCCACATCCACCTGCTGGGAGGGGAGGAGGAGCGATGCGGTACAGAACATAAAAAGTGAGCGATGAGCCACGCCACATGCACGTGCAGAGGGGGAGATCAGAGTAGGGGGCAGGAAGAGGAGGGGGAAGTGGGGGATGGAAAGAGGGGGGAGGGAGAGCTGGGTGAGCAGGGAGAAGAGTGCACACTGGGGTACAGGGGTGCTTGCATATAGCAGGTGGAGGTTTGGAGAACGACGAGGAGAGGGAGAGGGAGAGGGAGAGGGAGAGGGAGACCCCCTGAAACCCAAGGAGCAGAAGAGGACGAGCTAGCAGACGTTGCAAGGAGACGCAAGAAAAGAGTGGCACGCTGTGCGGTGATCTGCTGTGCTGTGCTGTGCTGCACCGTCCCCTGTGACGTCACCTTGAATCCGGGTAGGCTGAACACGCCTTGAGCTGCCGTGGCCAGCACGCACCCCTTCGGCCCCTTCTTCACTGCCACCCACTGCGGCCGCTCCACCTCCTCTCCCCCCTCCCCCTGCTGCTGCTGCTGCTGCTGCTGCTGCTGCTGCTGTTGGTGCCCCTGTGCCGGAGCGTCCTCTCTGCTTCCCTCCTCTTGGTCCTCTGTGCTCAACACAGATCTCGCAGTACTGCTGCTCCTGCTGCTGCTGCTCGCCCCAGCCCTGGCGCGGGCCTTCAGCTGCAGCAGGTGCAGGGCTGATGTGTCGGGGTCCTGCTGCTGGGTCAACACCTCCGCCTGCCACACAGCCACGGGCAAGGCAGGCAGGTACGGGGGTTGAAAGGCGGAATTGAACGGGGGAGCTGGTAGGGGGAGTAAATACAGGCATTCGAACGGAGGGACTGAACGGTTGAACTGAAAGGGGGAAAGGGGAGGGGAGTTGAAAGGAAACATGAACGCGGGTATCGATAGAAGCTCAGCAAAGGGGAAAGTAAATGAGGAAATAAGACCGGTAGCTGGAAGGGGAAAGTACAAGGAAAGGAGGATACGCAAAGGTGAATCGGGAAATGAAAGGAGGAAATGGAAGGCGGGATGGCAGAAGGGTGGAGCTAGAAGAAACCCTGAGAAATTTGGAGTATCAGGTGACTCAGCTGAGCTGTGGTCAGTACGATCTCTGACCAAACAGGAGAAAAGAAAAGGATAGTGGCAGGCAGGTAGGCAGGTAGGCAGGTAGGAACGGGATATGCACCTCTTCAGATGTCAGCAAAAGGACATCGCAGTTCATCAGCAGCCAATCAAAAACCTCCTTTGGCTGCCCGGCTGACCGGAACAGCGAGCCGGTGCGGGGCCCCGGGTCAAAGAAAACAAGCACGCCCGCCCTTTGGGCGTGCTGGGCGGCGGACTGGATGGCGACGGGCGGGAACTCGTCAAAGGCGAAGCCGTTGATGAAGAGCGCGCGGGAGCGGGAGATGAGGTGGGCGAGGGCAGGCGGGATGGCCTGCACGCGGCTGAAGGCCGGGTTCTTGTTGAAGTCAAAGCGGCTGCCGGGGGGTGGGGGGTGGGGGAGTGGGGGGAAGGGGGGGTTGTTGGGATGGAGGGAGAGAGCAGGAAAGGAAGAGGGCAGGAAGGAAGAGGGCAGGAAGGAAGAGGGCAGGAAGGAAGGGGGCAGGAAGGAAGAGGGCAGGAAGGAAGACAGGACGAACGAGAAGGACGAAAGGATCGTGGCAACCTGGCATGATGGCAGGCCGAATCTGTTTCTTCGATTCCGTTCAAATGAGAGTGAGGGGGGGAGAGGGGTGGTGGTGGGCGGGGGAGTGGGGAGGGGGGGGGGAGTTAGAGAAGGTGAGACGAGTAAGAGAGGAGGGGTTCGGTGGGAGCAGCAGCACGAGCACACGTGTATCACCTGGCAAAGGAATGGCGCCCATTCTTATCCAGAAACACCCAGCACGCCAGCGTCTCTCCGTCATACCGCCCCTCACTCCTCTGCACCACATCAACTTCCCCTTCCCCCTCCCTCTCCCCCTCCGCCCCCTCCCATCCCCCGTCCCCCAGCGGCCCATCCACATGGTCAGCCAGCGGCAGCAGCGCCACCCCTTCATCCGCCATCACGCGGGCGAGGAACGATCCAAAGGGGTCGCTCGCCACGTGGCCAAACGCCGTGCACCGCAGCCCCAGCCGCGCCGCTGCTATGCCGAAGTTGAGATTGCCGCCCGCCTCCCAGCAGGACTGGATATGGGGGGAAGGGCGGAGAGGGGGAAGGGGGAAGGGGGAATGGGAGGGAGGGGGTAGGGGGGAGGAGGGGACTGGGACTAATTATGCGTTCCCTATCTGCTTGCGACTGAAAATGCCATGTGTGTTGTCAGCCTCTCATATGTATCTTAATCCTAGCAATGAGTGCGGGTCGGTCGGAGAATGCCAGGTATCTCGCAGCCAGTCGTCTCGTCAGTGACTCTCCCAACTGGCACGGCACTGGGCACGGCAGTGACTTTCGCCAGTGGCTGCATCAAGCTGCCAAGGTGAGCATGTATTTCCTTCGCGTGCTCACTGCTCACCACTTCGCGTGCACTCACGCAGCTATCTGCCAACCAGTTGCTCGTTAGTGGCTTCTCTGCTCCCACGGTACGAGCCGTAGCTGCTCTGAAAAAAGATGGCTTTGCCTCGGATTACTACAGCTGCTACGGCTGCATCGGTGCGCTCAGCCTTTCTGTCTTGCTTTGCTTTCACAGCACCTCCAATAGAGCACCGGGTGCGTGCAACTCGCACCTCCGTCCACAACCAGCCTTGCCCACAAACCCGCGTCAACTCACCAGAACGTGTCACGACAATTCACACCATACAACATCAGTCGGCTGGCTTACCATGCGTGCGCTTACCTCATCCGGCGGGTTGGCTTTAACTCGTTGCAGGAACTCCCACTTCCCGCGCCTGTCGACGGGCGGCAGTTGGTCCACAGTCACCAGCACATCCACGCACAGGTTACCTAGGGTTACCACATCCACCACCTTCGTCTCCCCTTCGCGCACCCTCGCGCCTCCCGCCTCCCTGACCGTTTCGTCCTCGCCCTCGCCGTTCCGCGCGGGAAATAGAACGCCTTTTCCGCCGTCGCCTGCTCCGCCCTCCCCTTTCCCATGCAGCTCCCGTGCTGATGCTGCAGCCTCTCGCACTGTCGCCACACCTGCCGTGGGTTTTCCAGACTGCCTAAAATCGCTGCCGCTCGTTTTAGCGTCGCTCGGTTGAGTCTCTTCTAGTATAAGAACGTTTGCTCCAGTCGCTGCCTGGCCGATAACGTCATCCCGTTGACCGTCGCGTTGGACGGCTGGATGGCCGTCCCCGTGACGGATTCCGTTCAAAGACGCAGCTCCGCCGGCGGAATTTCCGGAACGGAAGAAAGACGCCGAGCAGGCGACGTGCCGAGACATTACGGCACGCGCGGTGTGCAAGCGCCGTCTGTGCTGTGTGCAGGCATGCTGAGCACAGGTATGCGGCGCGCACGCCTGCCGTGAGCAGGCATCATTCCGACAGGTGGCGAGTGGTGGGAGGCGAAAGACCGGTGCAATGGATGTAGACATAGCGATTGACCCAAGCGCGCGATCGCGATTCGCGAAGATACCGAGTACTACAGACTAGGTTAGAAACGAGACACGAATTTATGATGCTCAAGTTCCCCTCGACTAGAGATTGCTACGAGTCTGGCTGATAGCAATTGTTCGAGCTTCGGCGAGAGAACAGAATAGCGAGCAGCCGCGGGAATACAGGATGATCAAGTCGCGACTCGCGCCCTCATAGTAGCGAGAGGGAGTGAGGAAAGGAGGAATGTTAGGGCCACTTTCCTGCTGTCATACGGCACAAACCCAGCAACCTCGAGAATTGGGGTGTCAGGAGGGAGGGGGGTAGGGGGGTGGGATGGGGAGGGGGGAAACGAGGGAGGGAGGGAGGAAGCCGAGCGGAAACTCTGACAACACTGCAGGGCAACGTTTAGCGCATCCTGACGCGGGCAGGCAAGGTTTTGATTTTCTTCCCGCAGGAGAGAAGATAGTTGGATGAGGGTGTTCCTTTTCCCCCTGCCCGCCTGCCATCTGCCTCGGGAATATCCAGTTGTGGGTCGAAATTTAGGCGTAAATGTAACTCGTCGGAGCATACATGTAAGGAAATTCCCTTTTCCTTACTGGGCTAGACTACAACGCGTACGCCCTAGACTCTCGGAAGTCCAGGCTCGGCCAACTTCTTCGGTCCCGAACCATTTCGTGAACCCAAACCTAGACGTGCGGCACTTCCGTGGCTGTCGCCAACCGGACCGCCCCAACCTGTTCGCGTGGTTCTCGGCTAGCTCTATTCGTGTCTATAAATGCCTAGGCCCTCATTTGTATCGACACTCTTGAATCACGACTCCTTTATAACATTGCCTGTTATTACTCTGATTAATTCATAACAGCTCGTATCAGAGCCCCGTTCCTGCCCGCTTAGTCTTCCGTAGAGTAGTCCGTTTATATCGGGAGAGGACCCGACAGAATAGGGGCTTGGCCTGCAATTGGTAGGTGAGCTCGTTAAAGCTCCTCCAACTAAAAGCGTGTGCACCCTCAGATCTGTCAGGTAAACTTTCCAACAGGTCTGTCATGCCGGAAACCTCTGCCCGTCGCAGTGTTATGAACGTGACTCAGGAGGAGTTTGACGAGTTGCAAGCCAAGGCGGCTACAGTGACGACACCGTAGGCCCAGCTTCAACAACTCGCCGATAAGTTCGAGTCGTTGGGAAGCAAGGTGCAGACGTTGCGCAACGAAAACTCGTCGCTTCGCTAGACGCGGGGTGAAACGAGTCAGCGGCGACGTGTTACCCGAGACGAAGATGCTGCGAGCGAAGCAAGGGCGTCGACGACACCTGAAGCAGTCGAAGAAGTCCACAGCGAGCCGCGGGCATCCATTAAAACCAAACCTCCGATGCCACCACCGTTCAACCCGACCGACAGGACAACTACAGTAAGTGGGTGGCTGTTCGCCATGGAAATCTTCTTCACGGCAGCAAGTATTAATGACAACGCATCACGTATCAACTTGGCTGTGTCGCTGCTGAGGGGACCGGCACTCGACTGGTGGCGTATGCATCTAGACGAGGGAGGAGCCCCGGTAGGGAATCAACAGGCGGTAGATGGGGAGCACAGTTCATCAACGGCGAAGGCAGAACCGATCTTTGGGTCGGCCACGATCCGCACATGGAAAGCGTGAGGCGAAGCGTTGAAGGGCAGATTCGAGCACATATCCATGCGCGAAAATGCTCGCACAAAGCTTCGGATGTGGAGACAGTTGGGCTCTGTCCAAGAATACGTGGCGTCGTTTCTGGCAATCTGCGACCAAATCGGAGGGCTTAGCGAAGACGAGCGCATCGATCGCTACGTGGGTGGTCTCAAGCCAGAGATTCATGAAGGGATCGTCCTGCGAGCCCCAGCGACATTCAACGAAACAGTTCGCATAGCAGACACACGACGTGGACTAACGAGAGCGGGTTTCCGAAAGGGAAATCGCTTTCGAGGCCAGCCCCAACACACATCAATCAACGGCCTGGACGTGTTTGCAGCCCGAGTATTTTCGGGAACCTGCTTCCACTTCAACCAGCCGGGTCACATGGTGAGGGACTGCCCGCAGCTGAAGAAGAACTGAACTAATGACAAGAAGTAGTCGGGAAATGGAGATCGTCAGTAGTAGATGGTCCACCTACTGACTTGACTACGTCGCCCAAACGCCACCACCCCCACCAGGTTATAGTGCCGATTTGGGCTATCGACCATTCCTGGCTGAATAAGGGGGGTGAACCAATTGATCGCCCTGTGCTGGTTGAAGGAAGAGTTGGCGACACCCGCATCAAAATATTCGTTGATGGTGGGGCGAGCCACAGTTTGATGGACGTGATGAAGGCAAAAAAAATGTGATTGCAGCTGGAGCGCTGCATGCCCGAAATTGACGAGAGATTGGTTGACGGCACACCACTTGCAATTCGGGAGCGGGTACTTCACGTGCGAGTACCATGCGGCGAAAAAATCAGTTTCACGACGAAGGTGCTGGCGACAACTTTGGACGGTTGCGACGTGCTGCTGGGACGCGATTGGCTGCGAGAATACAACTCGAGCATTGACTAGCGGATGGGCGATTGTCACATCAAATGGAGTGGCGAGTGGCGTCGACTACCCAAGTGGAGTTGTCATGATTCGACCACATCGACGGTCAGCGTAGTAACGATCAAGTGAACAATGATTCGAGGGGCGCAACTGTATGCCGTACGATGGATCGCATTAACGGCTGTCAACACGCCAACCGACATCGACAAACTCTGCGCAGCTGTCCCAAATGACTTGGCGATGGTGATTCGGAAACACATCGTCATTTTTCCAAACGACCTACCGGCGGGTTTGCCACCTGAGCGAGAACATGACCACAAAATCGAGCTGGAGCCCGGCGCGCAGCCTATGGTTCGAACTCAATGGCGGCTGACTCAGCCCGAGCTGGATGAACTTCGAAGCCAGCTGGACTACCTGCTTGAGAAAGGTTTCGTTTGCCCCAGCACATCACCGTTTGCAGCTCCATTACTGTTCACCCCGAAGAAAGATGGCGGTCTACGAATGTGTATTGCCTACCGCGCCTTGAACCGGGTTACAATCAAGTCTCGCTATCCTATCCCACGTGCCGAGGAACTCATCGACCAAATTCGCGGAGCCAAATTCTTCGAAAATTGACCTGCGAGGCAGTTACTTCCAGATCCGCGCGAACGAAGCTGACTGTTACAAGACGGCGTTTCGGACCCGGTACGGGAGTTACGAGTACACGGTTATGCCTTTTGGCTTAACAAACGCGCCTTCGACGTTCCAGTTAACCATGAACGAGGTTTTTTGGCCGTTGCTAGATAAATGCGTCATCGTGTACCACGACAACATACTGGTCTACAGGATTACCCGGGAGCAGCATTTGAAGGATTTGACAGCAATTTCCCCTCTCTTGCAGCAGCAGCGACTCATCACCAAGGGCTCTAAGTGCGAGTTTTTAGGCCACGTCATTTCCATCGACGGTGTTAAGATCGACCCTTAGAAGATAGCGACAATCCAAGACTGGAAGCCGCCGACTAATCTCCGCGACCTTCAAAGTTTTCTGGGGTTTGTCAATTACGTACACCGTTTCATTCCGAACATGGTGGGGGTAACTTCCCCTCTCACGGATCTCCTGAAGAAGGGCACGTTTTATGAGTGGGGGGGAGAGCAGCAGGCTGCATTCAAACAGCTCAAACTTTTCCTGACTACACCTCCGATTCCTTGGATTGCAAAATCCTCACCGTCCGTTCGAGCTCATCACCGACGCTAGCGATCTTGCCGTTGGCGCAGTACTACTACAAGAATTCGGCGAAGGCCTCCAACCCATCACCCACGAGTCACGAAAGCTGAACCCGGCCGAGTGAAACTATCCTCTCCACGACAAGGAGTTACTCACCATCGTTCACGCTTTCAAAGTCTGGCGCTGCTATCTGACGAGCGCTGACGTGATAGTCCGAACAGACCACAAGTCGCTACAGTTCATCCGTGCCCAACCGACACTGAATCCCCGACAGATTCGCTGGCTTGATTACCTCGAGTCCAACACCTACAAATGGGGGGTTAGCAACATCGCCGCCGCACTGACCCGCCCTTCAGTCCACACCGCCGCCGTCCTAATTACCCAAGCTAATCCGCTGCTAACTGGCCTATTCACTCACGAATACAGTACTGACCCATTCTTCACCACTAACAGTCATCCCCAACTGATGGTCAAGCAAGGGGCCTATTACCTAAACTCCGGTACCAATCGGATTTTGGTTCTCGCCTACCGTACCCTACGACAACTACTGATCCAGGAGGCACATGACTCAAATTTCTCAGGTCACTACGGCATTGACAAAACCGCCAAATTACTGAGCCGTAATTATTACTAGCCCGACCTGCCGAAAGATGTGCAGCTGTACGTCACCTCCTGCGCCACGTGTCAACGCATGAAGTCTTCCCGGCTTCGACCTGCTGGATTGCTGCAGCCACTCGAGCCACCCAGCTGACCCTGCAACAAGTGACGATGGATTTCGTTACTGACCTGCCGGCTGGTCCAAGCGGCAACGACGCGATTCTCGTTGTCGTTGACCGGTTGACCAAGATGGCCCACTTCGCAGCCTGCAAGATGACAATTACTGTCGAGCACACAGCGAAACTACTCCTCACGAACATCGTGCGGCTACACGGCATCCCCTCGGCAATCATCAGCGATCGTGGCCCATGGTTCACGTCCAACTTCTGGACAAAAACCTGGCAGTAGTACGGCACACGTCTGCATCTGTCCACGGCATACCACCCGCAATCGGACGGCCAGACTGAGCGCACCGATCAGACAATGGAGCAGCTGATTCGCACGACGTGCACAGACCCGGCCCAATGGGAAGACGCCCTTCCCTTGATCGAGTTTGCGTACAACAACGCCCCATCGGCCACAACTACTCAGTCCCCGTTCTTCCTTAATTACGAGATAGATCCGACAACCCCTCTATCGCCCCCGATAGAAAACCCAGCACCAAGATCTCAGCAGTTCGTCGAAATCCTTCGACAGTCTCAGCAAAAAGCCGCCGATGCCATCCTCAACGCCAATCAGAGGGCTAAGCAGCAAGCTGACCGACGACGCCGAGACTTAACGCTCGCCCCTAGGCAATTGGTCCTGCTCGACACCAGAAATTTGGGATTTCCCCTCCTTACAAAATTACGACCAAGATTTTGCGGCCCATTCCGCATCATCCGCATGGTTGTCAAACATGTGTATTTGTTAT